AAGGGGTGGCGTAGTATTTTAATCTAGACACCAATCATAACTCTGTTTGTCGTACCTCAATGGAAGGCTGTCAGACAATTGAGGGTCGCAAAAGATCGAGTATAATGGCGCCGAAGGCGCCAATTGTATTGAATGAGAGTTATCTAAGGAGCAAGAACTCCATTAAGAGTTGCACGGGAACCGTGCAGCTCTTTATACACAAAAGAAACCTTTGATAGTTTAGGCAGTAGCAGCTGCCTGCCAGGCAGCTGCTGCAGTACCCCACATGGGGTACGATCAGGGTAGGCCTGATATGCGACAAAGGCCCATAGCGCGCCGGTATTGCTGATTTGTCTTGATGCTGCCCGCCGGTTGCGCTGAAAACCACTCGTTTCGTGCAGCAACATATCTAGAATAAATGGCTTGCGGAGAGTCGTATCGTAGCTCCTGAGCAGCTGGTTTGACAGATTGCGACTCTCCAGGCTCTGCTTCAGGCTCTGCTGAACAGGGGCTTGGGTCTTTAGAAACTTGTTGCAGGTAGGAAACAGGTTCTGGTGACACAGAAACGTCCCTCAGTAAACTTCGCATGGGACCAGGAAGATCACCAATTTCGGATTCTGCTGTCTCAACTGGATGTTGATCAGTTGCCATTGGCGATGATTGGGATTGCGGCAACGACCTGGGAGGTTTGCGCCACTGGTAGTGGAGTTGACTCGACACCACCACCACCAGCAAGCATTAAGCAGTTCTTCAAACCTCAAAGGACACGCCCGTGGTTTGCAACGCGGAAAATCCAAACACCATGGGTGACTTGATATGTGCAGGTTTCATCTAGCCGATTTGGAAAGGCAACCAACCTACTGCATTACGTGAGGTGAATGCGGGCTAATGCAAAGGCATTTAAAGCTCGCGCTGTTTATTTCATCGAGTGTCAGCCCTACTCCGCCTCGATGTCAAATCGTGCAAGGAACCGACGACTTCACCTCGCAGCTGAAATCGATTTCTCCTTCGCAATGCAATCAACAGGTGGTGTTATTTCCGTATGAATATTTGTTATGCTCGTCGAAAATAAGGTATAATCGCAAAGGTTGGTCGGAGTTTGCAGATGCAAGAAACAGACTGCGAGGTCGTCTTGTCGAGAAAATATAAAGCGTTGAGAGCCAAGTCGAAAATGGAAACTTTCGAGGGGAAGGAGTGAAGGGGCCAATAAAAAGCGAAATAGAGCAGAGCTACTTTTCTATCATTGTATCATGGGCCAACTTGAAAGTCTGCGGATAATTGATAGAGCCAACGTAGTTATGACGGAATAACCTTCAACACGACAAGTGCACAGGTAAAAAGGTTAAGGGGACCGTAGAGAATAAAGCAGGCTTGAAAGCTTGAAGAAGGTAGGGACCAACGTCCTACTCAATTTCATTAGGGTCTTCATTACCAGTACCATTCCATTGGATTGCCTGTCATTGCGACCACAAGAAAGTTGGTCCATTCAGATGCCATGATTAAGATCCCCTTGTCTGTTTTACCGAGGTGCAGGGCTCAAGAGTCTTCATCTCTCGCAAACGACCCCGAGGGGCAGGCTCCATGCATCAATTCTGCGGAAGCTTCGCAAGCCGCTGGGTGTGACGGAGGAATGATGGGAGAAAACCACATGGAAGTACTCCGTATCTTTTTACGATTCACGAAAAGGCCAGTAAACGTCGAACAGACCACCTGGGGGTGGAGAAGGATGCGTCACCAGACAAATATTCTATTCCGCACAACCCACAATCAGAGCCCCAAGGTATCACAACTGGGCCACTCTGTGCCGACGTTACCTTTCCTCCGCAACTACCCGCTCTCCGTACGTAGGCTCAGTGCGTTAATAGCGTGATCAACAATTTAGTCACCCATGAATAGACGGGAATATTCATAGTTATCCCAATGTACAGTATATAAAACGCACAATAACTTTTTCGGGGGGATGAACGACGCTGGGTGCTTTTACGGACTGGAGAGGTATGGTGGCATTATGAGAGTGGCACAGGGAACGGGGCTGGAAAAAACCTAGAGGCGGGCACCACCTTCTTTCTGCCCCTTGATGATGGAATCACTAGCTGTACAGCCTAATCACCAATCCGTTGGACAGACGAATGGGAGCGATATCACGTTCTTTCCACTTCCTAGCTACGGCCAGGTCCAAAATCAGGGGAAAAGAAAGGGAAAACAAAAGGCGCAAGGGAGGGGGGTTGTTGCTGGTTGACAGAACGTCCCACGAAACATTCCTCATATCGGCTCCCGCATAATGCAATGAGAGGCGAACCTTTACGTATATAAAGTGTCCCTATTCTTGGGATGCCCATTCTATGTACCAAGCCTCAGTGGACTTTCAAAACCTTATAACTTAGTCTTGCTTATTGGTTATCGTCCAGTTCATATAATGACTCCGTCCTGTTATGGACTTTATATCTCATCCTGTTATGGCCGGGTTGAGGTACTCGACCGTAACAAAAGCGCTGTCCTCTACCGCGCCGAAGTCCAACTATCCAAGCCACAACTCTACATCTACCGCCCCTTAACTGAGATGTTTTGCGACGAGATAGTCGCATTAGCTACATTCCGCCGATTTTCTTCAGCCATTAATATTCAAATATACGACGGCGAGCATCTCGACATGCGCCGAAAAAACCTCTTATCAAGCACCCACACACTCAGAGTCGAGGGGCGCAGATGGAGCTGGAGGCGAGACGGGATTTTGAAGGGCAATTTAAGGCTCATAAACGTGACGAGCAATCGTACCATTGCAACTTTTCACAAGAAGACCTCGTGGTCAGGGAAGATGCTGGGGATATTTACCGTGTTCGGAACGCACCAGTCGCCCGTTCTTGATGCTGTCATTGTGACGGGCCTGGCCAAGCTGGGTTATCAGTGGCTTGCTCAGAGCATGGCATCTGGAACCTAGATGGCTCTAGTGATAAGGCCGGTTCACCCCTGCCGTCTGGTCGGTCTTCCCCGCTGTGCCTCTTCGTAAAGTGGCGGCTATGCTCGTCTACTGCCTTGTTCTGCTCAGCCGTGAGTTGACTCCTAGGATCCGAACCGACCTGAGTTGTAGACTTTAGGCCTTAGCCTAGCAGCGGCTTTGGACGAAGAGCTCCGCCTCTCTCCGAGAGTGAGGTTGTTGCTCCTGGTGCGGGAAAGTAGACACATATGTGGTCATAGAGCGGCCACGGTTGGCAGGCACAGTGGTGCGGAGGAGGTACTTTATGTCAAGCGCATTTTAGTTTCAAGTAATAAAGTTTTAGTTGTGTGACGGGCCTCCCTTTTGGAGAGGGTCTGAACAAGGGGAGGGGCACCCGCTATCTAGACGTCGCCCGAATGCCAGATTGACAGAACCGTCCTATAAACATCATCCATCCTGGGTGCTCATGGGGTGGATCGATGAGCACCTAATATTCGATCTACAAAATGAGTGGCGGAAAAGGATGTGTCATACATGCTGCGGCCTTGGAATGATGAGAACCGCGGACAACGGAAGAGATACTGAGTGAGGGGTATTTGGGGGGCCCAATAGGTGCACCGGCGGCGGTGCGAATAAAGCTTACGTAACGGCGCACCACCGGCGGGCGACGCCTACAGACACGGACCCCCGTGCCTCCAGCTGCCACGGACCCGTGGCTGCAAGTGGGGCTATTCCCAAGCTGGCCAATGGCATCGCGGGTCGCCAACTTGGTGATGGAAGGAACGGGTGTAAACCTACTGAAGGCGTCAGTTGCATTGTATGAGAACTATCCAAGAAAAAAGTAATTGTTGTACGACTAAAATTGCTAAGGTTATAAATTTATTTGTGAAGACGGAAATCGCAGGACTTCTCGGAAAGTCCGACGTGGGGTACTTCGACGCCGCCGGTAGGCCGTTGCGCGACAGAAACATCACCAGTAAATTCTGTTGAACATGAAACAGCATCACGTGCAGGGTCCATCCCGCGCCTTCCATAAATAGCGTGCCTTGGCGGCATCTCTAGCTTACAGAATCAACGCACTCCTTTCATCTGTATTCCGCTGTGACGTTCAACAAATTCAACGGTTTCCGATGGGATTACATGATAAGTAAGGAAAACGGACAAATTGAGGCTTTTGCGATACGATCTACTCTATGCAAATTCTAGTTACCTTACACAATAACTAAGCTGCTCCTATTGAGGCCTCGAACAGGGCATCTTGCTCCAGGTCATCCCGCTCCATCAAGTCATAAATAGCGTCAACACCTCGTCTTGTTGTTTCTCGAGTATCATTAGCCATCTCAGCGGCAACTATAGCCTCGACGCGTTGATCTTCAGCGTATGACCAGTCAATATAAGCCATCTTCTCCTCCCTAGTCCATCTACGCATGGCGCCACTTGATGTACAGAATTGACCCATTTCCTTCCAATTCTCACACCACTTATACTGAGCCTTGCTATATGAATGTGGTAGCTTTGAAGCCTCACGATATGACTTATCAGTCTTGCGTCCATCTGATTGTGTCGAATACCACTTCTCACGAGCTTGAAGATAGGCCTGGTAAATAGCTTCTGGTGAGTCCCGCCGTGCTGGTTTAGTTACTCTTGTTACGATAGCTTCTGGCGCACGGACGGTATCATGGACTGTATCAGCTGTCGCGGAAAGCTGTGATGCAATTAGTAGCTCGTCTGAAGGTGATGATTCTCTCTGGGGATCATTATTAATGGAGCTGGATTGAAGATATTCGTAACGCATTGAACAGAGCCTTGAGACCCGCGTGTGCCCAACAACACCACACGCCGAACACTTTGACGGCTGCCGCCGGCGTTCAACAGCCTTAAATGCACATTCCTCACGTTTTGTGCTTGATTGAGTCGCTTTAGAGTCTTCTTTTCGATACCTCTTGAGTCGTCGGGGTTCTGCAAGGTGAATAGGCTCGCCATCTCGTTTAAAGTGCCAATGGCGATGGAATTCATTGAGAGCCACCGGGAGCTTGGCATCCATCAATGCCTTCAGTCGATGTACACAGGGCAATCCGTATGAGGCTGTAAATCTCCCTGTGCAGGGTCGTGATAATGGCGAATTTTCAGCATTAACCAATTTGCGCTGCTCATCAACTTTCCGCAGGGCTTCGAAAGATACCCAGCCTCGTACCACGTTGTAAAGGCTCCCAGAGATATCAAGAGGGCTTTGAGTCTGTTGATATGATTGATAATACGTGAGCTCAGCTAATTGATTGAGAATAGCATATCGGATTTGATAAGACTGTGAATCCCTTCAACACGGGACGTAGCCGTATTGCCGAAATGGGTATATTTATCAACCCAGGCCTTCACAAGCCTCTCTTTGTACGGCGCTAGCCAGACTTCCTTAATATATGCAACCTCCTCAACGTGGTTATTGACGTATTTATCCTCAAAGGCCTTGACCCTTTCATTGAAAGCTGCCTCTGTTGGCGAGTTAATGATACTGTGCCAGTGGTTATAAAAGTCCTTCCAGCGTGATGATTGTTCCTCGTCAGTGAGACTATTTGATGACAAATTAGCCAGGAGCTTTTCTTGCATTGCGAAGATCGGGAGGCAGTGTGCCAGTACTGCTTTATTTGCATGCCAAAGGCATAATAGAGAGATAGATGTTGTAAATACCGCTTCGACGGCATTAATGCAAGCAAGGCATCTATCAGTTAAGATAACAGCCGGAAGAGAGGCATGAGCTGCTTTATATATCGATTTTAGTCGATCTAAGGCCCAGAGATAGTCCTCTTCAGCCTCGCCACTCAAGAGAGCAAACGCAATGCAGAAAGACCGGTTGCAAGCATCAACACCAATAATGTCGAGAAGTGGCATGTTGTATTTGTTGGTGTTATATGTACAATCTAGTAATAACACATCCGGATATGCTTGGAGGTATTCTAATGACTGTGGATGTGCAAATAGGACTGATGTGATGCGACCTTTATCGTCAAATCGTAATCGATTCCAAAAACCTTCATTATCACGTTGATTTATAAGGGCATGAATAGCGCTTTGACCCTCACAAAGTTCTCTTTGTGTTGCTGCAACAGAGTTCTGAATATCTTTTCTTGTTGTATGCTTCAGAATGCCTCGCTCTCGCATGTAGCTTTGAATGTCTTTTGCAGGAATTCGAGTAGACAGAAGATGTGATATAGCGGTCTTTTGGTCATTATCTAGCTTGCGATTAGCGGGATGTGCTGATGGGTGTGGACTTGGAGGGTGATTATGATGATGATATTGATCATCACGATGCTTCAAATTCCAGGTTCCATCAGCACATTCTTTTGCAACGATTGAGAATTGGCAGCTTGTGCCTCTTGTAGATGTTCTTCTGACTCTGGGCAACGCAGGATCAGGTGGTTTACACGCTCTGTCACATGTATAAACTTAAGTGATGGTGTGGCGGCCAGACTTCTCTTTCTTTGACCTTCCCATCACAAAGGCATAACCACGGGCCTTTGCCCACCCGTCGATAAATTACTTGAGGCTATGGTGTGATCGAAAGACATCTTGCGGAGGTAAACAATCATTTTTCCACTGCCAGCTTGTAGGATTCATGATCAGTGGCTCGATAGGCCTGAAGTGGTGGAACAGACAGGTAGGTTAAAGTGTGAACTAGAAGGAAAGGGAGACTGGGGAGTTGGTGAGTGGAAGCAAGGTCAGTGAGAATGTGGTGTATTGAGTTGTTCTGCCTTAGCTTCCAGTCTTTCGTATTCAGCTATTGCTTCTGGGTCTGCCTTGATAGCTTCAAGATCACAGTGGGTCAAGTACAAATGCTCGAGATCCTTTCCTCTACTCAATGCCGCATATGCTTGTCCGTCAGAGAAGATATTAGAATTCAAGGCGACGGTAACATCTGGCAGTGACAGACCTTGAACCTTATGGATTGTCAACGCAAATGCATTGATGATTGGAAGCTGTACACGTTTGTATTCCACCCCATTTGTCTGGAAGTACGACGGAGTTTTGTGCAAGTGCAAGACCTATACTACATTAGGTGCGTCGAGTGCCTCTAAGCTTCAAAAAACTTACTTGGATACCGTCTTTAGTGGGAAATGCAGCCTCAACTTCGTCGTCGGGTAACAAATTAGTAATAACACCAATAGAGCCGTTAGAGATTCCTCTCTCGCTCAGCATGCTATTTGTGAGAAACATGACTTTGGCCCCAACAGTACACACCACGGAGGATGCAAAGTTTGTCCCCTTGTTGAATATTTTCGAGTGCTCTGAATGCTGTAGGTTTTCAAAATCCTCGGCTTTTGAAACGAAGATAGGGTTCTCTGATGGCATGCCGGAGAGAACGGCATGGTTTAGTACCGCAGCTTCATCACGAAGGGAAGACAGGTACGTGGTATTCCACATGACATGTTGTGGATTATAATGGCGCCATCGTTCTTCCAAAGTGCATCTTACCTCACCACATGACATGTTGTGGATTATATTGGCGCCATCGTTCTTCCAGAGTGCATCTTACCTCGTCATCGATGATTCCAAACCGAATCTTGTTTAAGATTCTGAAGAACTTGTCGTTTATCTACCGTAGCGGTTATCGTAGGAAGATAGGATAAATCTTGTTTAAGATTCTGAAGAATTTGTCGTTTGTCTGCCGGTGCGGTTGTCGTAGGAAGATGGGATGGAAGAGCTTCCAAACAGAGGCCTTAAAGACCTTTAAACCCTCCACGGGGGGTAATTGCATCAAGTCCCCAAAAACGATGACATGCATGTTGCCGAAGGGCCTGTTATTTCTCCTCAGTTTGGCGAAAAGGGAGGCGAGGTAGTCAAGCAGTACGCCATCTACCATCGATACTTCGTCAATAATATCGTCGATAATAAGCACGGTTTTCTTTTCTATGTCTTTCTTTTTTTGATCTTCGAACCTAAATAAGCCCGTGTGGTAGGCGCTTCGATGGCTATAGACTGACAGAGCCGAGTGGATTGTATTCCCATCAATATTTCTTGCCGCAATTCCAGTGGGCGCAAGCAGTACGGCAAGGTTCCGGGATTTATCGCACCAATACTGCAGGGCACGCAGGAGGAAAGATTTCCCCGTCCCACCAGGCCCTGTTACAAAGAACATACGGCCTTGATGCCTAGATGCAGAAATATTTTGCGTTACCGTGCTATAGCACTGGTATTGCTCGCCTTTCAGGGTAAGACTCGCAGCATCGGCGAGTCCTGGAACAGACATGGTATTTAGCTGCCGTAGCTGCTCAGACACCATATCATGGACATTTGGCGGAGCCGCCCCCGCAACTCTTTGAACCATCTCGCAATACTCCCTTCCGAGGGCCAGATTGCCATGTTCGACTCTATCAGCATGTCCTCGTAAAGCAGCATCATAAAGTACTGGGTCGAGTTCGAAAAGCCTTTCACGGTAGGTGGCGGAGTTCGCAATGATTTCATCATCTGATCTCCAATGGTATCTATAAAGCAGCTGCACGTAAAAAAACACCTC